GAAGAAGAAGAAGAAGAAGAAGAAGAAGAAGAAGAAGAAGAAGAAGAAGAAGAAGAAGAAGAAGAAGAAGGGAAGGAAGGAAGGAAGGAAGGAAGGAAGGAAGGAAGGAAGGAAGGAAGGAAGGAAGGAAGGAAGGAAGGAAGGAAAACCCAGATGTCTGAAACATGCTATGTGCAAGCCTGGACCAGGGTAAAGATGACACAAGTCTATCTAAATGATAGAATTCACAGAGAACTCAAGAGTTCATAGGAAACTGTCATTCATCCCTACGCATGAACATTATTTACTAGGCTTCTCTCTTATCAACTGGCCTTCTGACACAGGAGTGTCTGGCTCATGATCTTTATGACAGGTAGAATAAGAAGCACTCCTGTCTCCACGTCGACAGTGTTCATAACTTATTAGTGTTTGTTTGCCCATTCACTGTTCTGATTTCACCTCCCTCAGCAGAGGCTAAGTTCTGCACGGGCAGGGATTTTTATCTGAGTTAGTCATCAATGTATCTTGATCATTTGCAAAGCCTGACACAAAGTCAATGGTTAAAACAGATGTGTAGTGTGGTGGCTTGAATGAGAACGGGCTAAAAGGCTCATATACTTGAATACTTAGTCCCCAGCTGGTGAGTTGTGTCTTGGATTACAAAAGTTATGAGTTTTAAAAAGTAGCACTGGTTTTTCATAGCAGAATGATAAAAACAAGCTCTGAGCACCTTCTGAGAGCTGGTTTTGTAGTGTTTCTCATGCTGACACCCTTTCAATCATCACACATTCCTAGGCACCTTAGGGCTCTCAAAAGTGATGCCACAGTAGCTAACAGTGAATCTAAGCTGATTTTAGGAGTATGACAGGAGAGAGCAAAGTAGCAGTGCGTGAATAACCTCCCGCCTCGCCCAGCACGGCCAGGGTCACTTGCCCGGCAGCCAGCATTAGTAGAGTGCAGTAAGTGTGTTACCTTCCACCTTCTCCAGCTTGGCCAGCGTCAGTCCTATTGCATTAGGGCGATGTGGGCTCCTTGTGGAGAACACTCCAGTCTTTGCCCCATTCAACCTAGGCGGCTGTACTTTTGCCTTGTAGTTCAAATGGCCGTTTTTGTGAAAAACAAACAAAATCCTATTGAAAACAAACCATTGTTTAAAAAGAGGACAAATTATTTTAGTATTATGACTTGAGAAGGGAACAGTTTTTATTAAATTTCTCAATCATGGGAAATGAGTCCTCCCTCCATCCCGGTGGGAATAGAGTCATCTCCACACAAAGACCGACATACAGCAAGAACGTAACAGACTTACACATGGCCAAGGGAACGCCACTTCACAGTGCCTGCTGTTTGCCATGTAGTATGCTAACATTTTCATAGCCACTTTGTACTGTAACAATCCTAGGAAGCATAATTTAGCCCTCACGCTGAGGGAGAAGAAATCGAAGCTCAGAAACATTCAACCTGACAAGGCCTTTCTAAACAGAACAGGAAAGATTTTTGTTATACATCTTTGCTACACTGTGGGTTAGCTGATTATTTATAATATATAAGTCATTCTTATATAAATGACCAAGTAAAGAACTCAACACAGGACTCAAAGCCAGGAACAAGAGCGTGCAATTGATACAGGAACCACAAAACAGCTAACACTGAGCTCAGTGATGATTAAGAGGATGAACTAAAACCTAACACTGCATTTCCCTCTAGGGCAAGGTAAAATTGGGCAGAAACAGAACTCTTAATGAGAGCAAGTAGAATCCAAACTCTTATGGCTTTCTGCCTTTTAGGGAGGGTAAACTGAACTCTTCAAGGGCCTACAACAGGGCCCACAAACTTATTCTGTGAAAGGTCAGATGACAAATATTTTAGGATTTGAGGCCAATCAGACATTCAACTATTCTGCTACCAGAGCAGAGTTTCACAGTGGTAGCCACACACAATACATAAACCAATAGGCATGCCAGAGACAGCATGCAGCTTCAGATCATGTTACACAGGCACAGCTGCGATCCCACAAGCGGATGTAGACAGATAAAGAGGGGACCACAGGTCACAGTTTGGCTGATTCTTATTGTAGAGACCAGCATAAGGACCCATGGGCAGAATCTAGGAGATCCATGGCTTCAGTTTAACACAAGGAAGCCGTCATAATTAGAACAAGCTGTAGTTAAAACATGTTCCTTCAGTGAATCCCAGATTCCTAAAGGTACCCAGATATGCAAACAACCAAAAGCAGAAATTGAGTATGGGAATCCATACATAATCTATAATCATACAGATTAGGGTGGTAGAGATGGCAGATACCAAAGATGCCTTCAAATGACTGTGCTTTCTCAGGACCCAAACTACCACTTCTTAAACAACTTACCAAACATGAGAAAACTGTTCCAGGCCCATCAAGGAATGCTTAGGATTATTAAAGATGCTCTTTCTGATCTTCAAGCAGGCTCTGGAGTAGCTGCAAATGGACGGCTGCCTTGGAGTACCATTCTTGGCCAAGAAACACGACTCCAAGTAGCCTATTGGCTCAGTTAAAAGATTTCCTATGGAAGAAAATCGGGTAAGATCACTCAAAAGAAAAAATCTAGGTACAAATACAACTACTAAACACATGTTTAAGGGCTGGAGAGATGGCTCAGAGGTTAAGAGCACTGACTGCTCTTCCAAAGATCCTGAGTTCAATTCCCAGCAACCACATGGTGGCTCTCAACCATCTGTAATGAGATCTGGGGCCTTCTTCTGGCGCTGTAAGCAGAATACTGTACAGATAATAAATAAATAAATCTTTTTTTTTAAAAAAAAAAAAACATATTTAAATATAGAGTCCTACTAAGTAGCTCAGGCCAGCCTCGAACTCATGAACCTCCAGCATCAGTCCCATCTCCCAGCTGCTGGGAAAACAGTTGTGCACCAGCATACCCACCTCAATTTTTATGTGTAGTTATATAAATACATAAATTACACTAACATAACAAATGTGTTGATTATATATTGAGGTATAAATTACAATTTATATTTATAATCACTTCTTTGTATGTTCTTTGAAGAGATCTCCATTTTTACCTCGTTTGCATAAAATCTATTTTATTAGCACAACCAGGAAGGCTATAAATCTGGGACTGTTTCTCACAAAACTCTAATATTTATATATAGCAAAGATCATATGCAATATGTATGGAAGAAGCACAACTCGCCCAGCAGCCACACCAACTACAGTTCTACTTGCATGCCTGCGGACTGCCTTCAGGAGCTGCAATCCAATCTTTATCATCATCTGTTTCCTTTCAGAATATGATCTTATCATATGTACTTTTGAGCCTAAACAATACTTCATTTACTCCTAATTCTGTAAAAGCAGACACCACACTGTAAATTAGTTTCCTAGACTGGCTTTCTCTGTCCACCTATATTGTGTATATTTCTGACAACTTCCAAGTTTCTTCCAAGAGTATTTTCAGGTACTACTGTTTGTTTGGGTTTTTTTTTTTTTTTATTATTATTATTGTTGCTAAATTCTCATCCATGTTCCTGTGTAATAGGATTAAAGACGAAGAAACTGGGACCAAATGACAGCATCAGCCACACACATCCTAGCTCTCTGTAGCTCCCTAAAGAAAAAGGACCATAAAACACATTGGCCAACCCACAGCTACTGTGCTGGGACTAAGGCCAAACCACACCCCCGTGTGTACCAAGAACGTGCTACGTCACTCTCGTTGGCCTTGGTAAGTCACGTGATCGTGGGGACACGTGACCCTCACTTTGGCGGCAAAGACAAGAAGGCCCGTCAGGCAGTTCGCGTTCTTCTCAGCGAGGAAGCCGGCCGCGGCGCCTACGAGTCCCTATAATTTACCTGTCTCCAGAGCCGGCTGAGTGCACCCGCACGGGGCCGCTGGGGTGCAGGAACCCCGCTCCGCCAAGCCGCGCATGGCTGCCGGCCGCTGAATCGTCCACACGCCGTACGCAGCTTTCCGCTTCCGCTTCCGCCCTGTGGGCTTGGGCGCCTGCGCAGTTGTCGCTCGGTGCCGGGTCTTGGAGAAGGCGGTCAATGGCGGCCCAGTTTCCGCGTGGAGGGCTGGTGGTTGTCGCAGAGAAGCTGTGCGGGCGGCCCACCTTCTATCCATTTTGCGGCATGCAGTGTGCCCTCCGAGGATGGTGCACATGGATAAAGATGTACACGCCAAGATACTCTTGAATTATAAGCGTCCTCCATGACTAAAAAATGACTCAGCGTTTTAAAGGGGAATGGCGTATAAACTATGACCGCACAGCTAAAGAACTGAAGTTTGGGAGCTTAATTTTCTTTTTTCTCTCTTTTTTTTTTTTTTACATTTATGTGTGCGTGGGAGCATGTGGAAGGCAGATGACAGTGCAGGAGGCGCTTCTCTCCTTTCACCGCGTGGCTCCGCTCCGGTGATCAAATTCGGCTCGTCAGTGTTAGCGGGTTCCTTTACCCGCTGAGCCAAAGAACTGGAGGTTAAATATATAAAATTCTGTTTGGCCGTGGGCTGCATGTTATATTTGCCACCCTGCTCCACTTTTTCAGTAATAACTATTTGTCGAGAAAGAAGCCCAAATAAATCAAGAGTGGTGCGTATTATTACAGCCAACCTAGGCTAGGAGTAACTAAATGGGGGCGTTTCGTGAGCTCCAAACCGCCAGAACCAAAATGAGAGTCAAGAACCAGCACACACATTGGAAAGCTGGGACCGGCAAGAATTGTATTTTAATCTCATGCAATATCCAGTTGCCGGCGCTTTAACCACTTGTAAGAGTCTTAGCCAAACTGTTTCTTTGTGTACATGATTGTGTTTCTGGAATTTCAAAATCTTGGTTGGGGGGTGGGGGTGGACAGCGAGAATCTACCTATTACCTGTAACGGTAACGTGAAATATTAAAAATAAGCAAGTCCGCAGACTAAAGGCTTAACTATGAAAAGCTATTTCTTCTAAGTTCATTGTCACAGACTAGCAAGTCACGAGTGGGAAATAACCAGTATTAGGAGGCAGGTATTTAAGAGGAAATTGTGGGTTTTATGAGGAAATTGTGGATTTTTTTTTAAGTTAAAACTGATACTGTGTCCTCTATCAAGAGTCTTGTGCATGAAATTTACGAAAGGCTTTTTTTCTTTTAGGAGACACTGGTCTTGTCTAGCTAGAGAAACAAGTTTGAGTACCTTCGGGCAACATCTGCACGCTTTTAAAAATGAACCGAATAAAAGCTGCAGTTGCCACTAGTCGGCGCTATTAATACAAGAGTCAAACTGAACAGTGGAAGTTTATTTCTTGTCCTCCAGAAAGACATGCTAGTCACTTGCTAATCATACCAAAAGTGTGTAATTACCAACTGTGCCAACTACTGAAACTCAAAGTAGACTTGGAGACAGTAGACCTAGGAATCTGCCTTTAAAAAAAATCTCAATAGAGCTGGAGAGATGGCTCAGCAGTTAAAAGCACCGCAGCTCTTCCAGAAGATTTTGAGCACCCATGTTGGGCAGCTCACAACGGGCAGTAACTCCACTTCCACGGGATATGATGCCTCTTCTGGCCTCCACGGGCACCTGCACATATGTACACACACACACACACACACACACACACACACATATATCTGCACTGGGGAAGCAGAAGCAGGCTGATCCCTGTGAGTTGGAGGCCAGCCAGGCCACACACAGTAAGTCTTCAGACGTAGTTCCAGCATGCCCAAACTCCTTCCTGCCACAAGAAAAGGGCAGTACAGAGTGGAGCTCAGGTGGCTTCTTGGGGGAATTCTAATTCATGATCTCAGACCTCCAAACCAACAAGAAAACAGAAATAATTTGATTCACACTGGTGTCTGGGTAGAGCTAAGAAACCAGTATAAGTTTATAGGCAATGGTGGAGGGAAACAGAACAAGGGGCTGGCGAGATGGCTCAGTGGGTAAAGCACTTGCCATGCATGTCAGGGGCTAGAGTTCGGGTTGCCAGAACCCATGTAAGTGCCAGGGAGGTATAGTGACCTCCTGGAGCTAGAGACAAACAACCCCTGGAAGAAGCTGGCTAGCTCAAGTATGAACTCTGGGTTCAAGTGAGAGACCCTACCTGAATATATAAAATGGAGAGCCCCTGAGGGAGACAAACATCTAGTCTCACAGGCATGTCATGCATGGGCACCCACGAACCCACACACTTTCACTAGTACCCAAGAATACGTACACTTTATTTTTTTTTAAATAGATTTATTTATTTACTATGTATACAACATTCTGCCTTGATGTATGCCCGGACACATGTATGCTAGAGGCGGGAGCCAGATCTCAGTACAGATGGTTGTGAGCCACCATGTGGTTGCTGGGAATTGAACTCAGGACCTCTGGAAGAGCAGCCAGTGCTCTTAACCTCTGAGCCATCTCTCCAGCCCCCCACACTTTTTATTTTTAGAGCAGACTGGGATGCTCAGTTGGAAGAGTGTTTGCCTGGTATGTACAAAGTCCTTGGTTCGAGCCCTAGCACTGCATGAAGCCATGCATGGGACACATGCTTCCGAGGTGAGTTTCTGGCCAGCCTGGACTCTATAAGACCCTGTCTTCAAAAAGATCAACGATAAAGAAAAGAAAAATCTCAGTGGTTAGGAACACTTGTTGCTCTTGTAGAATGCCTAGGTTTAAAATTCCCAACACCCACACGGACAGGCGTTAACTCCCCATAACTGGGGTTTGGAATCCTCTAAGTCTCCACTCCGGAGAGGTGAGCACTCCTCCTGTCTCCATGCCCCAGCACTATTCCCTATGGCACCAGCACTGTTCCCTTTGGGGGAGCGTGTTAATGCTACTTTAATATAGGTTTTAAGTATGGGGGTTAAAGAAAGAGAGGCACTCTCGTGGAGAGGACAGCACAGCCAAGAGCCAGGCTGGAGGCTCCTCGGAGAGGAAGCTGCTGCACTCGCTTTCTTTCCGGATGATTTCTTTTCTGTTTTGTTTCTCCACGAGACCAGATTAAACCCTAGTGAACAAAGATGGCCTGCCATTCGGTGCTTTACCACCCTCCCCGTTCCAGCAACAGCTTAGCCCGCAAGTGATGATTCAATGTACGTTTTTCACAAACTCAGCTTTAAAAAAAATAGAAGTAGAAGGTTCAGATTCACACACAGAAGTCAATGATGTTTATAACTCCAAAATATTTTGCAAGAAGTTCTAGAATAAGAATTGTTTAGATTAACTCAGCGAGCCATGTAAAGCTTGAATAAAATTCTGAAATTACACCAATAACTGACAAAGTTCACAAAAGAACTATATACTTTCAAAATACTAAGTGTTCATATCAAATTGCTGTCTTCTCACAATTACCAAATATATGTTTCTTCTTAAAGGAAAATCAACTACTCACCCCTTCCTCTGCTCGTATTCATCCCTCCCTCTACTATCTTCTCCCACATACATATGTACATCCTCAGACAGCACACACACCACACACACACACACACACACACTATTGTCTATGTGTTAGAGCCTTTGAAAGTTAGTTCTATCTTTCAGATAAGATCTACATGGGAAAAAACACAAGCTAAAACAGTAATGCAAATTGTAGCAATTGCTACAATGTTTCAGTAAAATTTTACAAGAGAAGATGTGTATGCTATATTCGGTTGGACTGCAACTTCATCGCTGAGTATTGTTAAAACGGAACATAGCTATCGGGGTCGTCTTCTGAACAGTTCTCTTGTGGACCCTGTGGACTTGATGGTGTTTCTGGATCTTGATCTGCTTCGGCTTTTTCCTTCTTTTCTGTAAAATCAAAACACAAAATAATAGATTCAATAGACAATTGTGGCACAGCCTGTTACTCACTTGGAAGAGGGAGACCATGCCACAGGCCTTGCATACACATTTCAGCTAGATTACATAGCAAAATGTCCTGTCGCTTCACAGAGATGTGGGGTTTGTGGCGTTTTTTGGTTTTTTGTTTTTGGAGACAGGGTTTCTGTGTGTAGCCCTGGCTGTGCTGGAACTCACTTTGTAGACCAGGCTGGTCTCTAACTCACAGAGATCCGCCTGCCTCTGCCTCCCAAGTGCTGGGATTAAAGGTGTGCACCACCACCGTCCGATGGGATTCTTTTTTAGAGAGAGCAGTATGTGCTGTTTTTGAAGGATTTATTTTTAAGTGTATTTGTGTGCTGGGTTTGTTTGTGTGCACCAGGCGTGTGCAGGAGTCCTTCAAGGTTAGAGAAAGGCATTAGACCGCCTTGAACTGGAATTACAGGCACTTGTAAAGTCACCATGGGTGCTAGAAGCCAAATTTGAGTCTTCTGCAAGAACAGTACATGCCCTTAACCACTAAGCTCTCTCTCCTCTAGGCCAAGATGGATTTTGTTGGCTTGTTTTGTTTTACAGAGTCTCATTATGTAGCATCAGCTGTATGGAACTCACTATGTATGCTGACCTGGAACTCACGGAGATCCACCTGCCTCTGCCCCTTCAATGCTAGGATTAAAGGTTTGCACCAGCACCCCTAGCTCAGGATGCTGTGTTTAAAAAGAGGGATGTATGTCTCTATCCTCTCTCCCTTTCTCTCTTTCTCTCTCTCAGTGTGCGTGCATGTGTGTGAGTGTGTGTGTGTGCACGCGCGCGTGCACGCGTACGTGTGTGGCCTTTTTAGGGGTTGAGAAATGTCTGACTGCTTAAGAGGACTTGGGGCTCTTCCAGAGGACCGAGCAATAAAAACCAACCAGCACAGTTACATAGTGAGTACTAGCTCAGAAACCAAAAAAGAGCATTTTTTGTACATAATTAATCCTATTCCAGGTTTGTTTCTCTTACTACGGTTTCTCAAAATGGGTAAATAGAATTCCCAATTATTTAAATGTTTTGGAAATGTGCCAACAGAATGTTGGTCACCTGAAAAATACCTTTTCCTCGAAAGGATTCAGTGATAGTCACAGCTCCCATTGAGATAACTAGCTACTGTCAGCAGCAGCTTCCAATCACGAATCTAGAGGAAGTTGTTGCTATTCAAACATCCTACCTTGAGAGAAACGACAAGCACCATCACTGTCCTGGTAGGCAAGAGGGTCCTGTCCTTGGGCCCCACCTGCTTCCTGGGTTTGTTCTGGAAGGCAGTCTTTAGGCCCATCCCTTTTCTCACAGGTCTTGATAGAGAGGTCTTCAGGCCCAGGCATTTCATGGCAGGCTTCAGGTGAATATTCTTCAGGCCCAGGTGAGTCTTGGATTGTTTCAGGAGAGGAAACTGTAGGCTCAGTGAGTCTGTAGATCTCATGAGAAATGAATTCAGGTTCTGTTCCTCCTTGGCGTGTTTTTATAGAAACGTCTTCAGACGCAATGCGTTCTCGTGTTTCAGGAAAGCAGCCTCCAGTCACAGCCAAGCCCTGATCTGCTTGGCAAGCGGTTTTCTCTGGTGTGACTGATTTGGGGCATGCGTCAAGTGGGCAGCCTTCAGGCACATCTGATGGTGGGGGTGCTGCAGGAGAGCATCCTGGGCCAGCAGCATCTCCACGTGTTGTCCAGGGAACAGTGGCTGCCTCTTGATGTGTTTTAGGAGAGAGGACTTCAGGCCTGGCCACATCTTGGCACATTTTTAAAGTATGTTCTTGAAGCACAGCTGGTTCCTGGGACATTTTAGGAGAGAGCGCCTCAGGTCCAGCCATATCTTGGGGTGCCTTGAAAGAATGGTTTTGGGGCACAGCTGTTTCCTGACACATTTTCGGGGACAGCGCCTCAGGTCCAGCCATATCTTGGGGTGCCTTGAAGAAATGGTTTTGGGGCATAGCTATTTCCTGGCATACTTTAAGAGAGAGCGCCTCAGGTCCAGCCATATCTTGGGGTGCCTTGAAAGAATGATTTTGGGACACAGCTGTTTCCTGACACATTTTCGGGGAGAGCGCCTCAGGTCCAGCCATATCTTGGGGTGCCTTGAAGGAATGGTTTTGGAGCATAGCTATTTCGTGGCATATTTTAGGAGAGAGCGCCTCAGGTCCAGCCATATCTTGGGGTGCTTTTGAAGAATGGTCTTGGGGCACAGCTGTTTCCCGCCATGTTTTAGGAGAGAGCGCCTCGGGTCCAGCCGTGTCTTGGCACATTTTAGGAGAATGTTGAAGTGCAGTCATTTCTTGGCACGTGCTAGGAGAGAGGTCTTCTGGTTTGGCCGTGTGTTTGTATGCTTGAGAGTGGTTCTGTATTGCTCTCGCCTGGCGCACTTCAGCACAGTGTTGTGCAGGCACAGCTTCTGGGGGGCACGCCACCAGTGGGAGGACTGCAGTCACAGGGCTTACAGGGCACTCCATTTCTTCCTGCACCCTTTGCTTTTCTGCCTGCACCTTTGTGCTTCTTTGTCTCGTTCGGCCTCTTGAATTTCCTTTTCCTGTGCTTTGACACTTGCGTTTTTTCTGTTCTCTGCAGAGAGACCAGAATGAATGTCAGCAACAGGGCTACAGGATTTAAATGGATGCTTCCAATACCCACCCCTGTCTTTGTGGCCTTGTTATATGACCTTAAACAAGTCCTTACTCTCCTCAGACCTCAGTCTCTGAGTTTGTAAAATGAACAGTCCTGAGAGTCCTCAGTGTTCACTTGCTCAGAAAGTGTCCATGCAGGATTTTATGGTTTTAAAACTAGAGTGTGTATGCATGCGTGTGTGTGTGTGTGTGTGTGTGTGTGCGTGTGTGTATATGTGTAATGGGGGGGGTGAGAGAGAACACTCAATCTTGGGAAGGTGGTTCTGAGGGTAAAGGACTTAGCTGAACTCTATCTTCAGCACCCAGGTGAAAACAGAGTGTGTGGTGCCGTGAGTTTGTGATCTCAGAGCTGCAGAGGCAGAAATCCCTGGACCCTCCTGGCCAGCTAGCGGATCCTAATCGATAAGCTCCAGGCCAGTGAGAGACCCTGTCTCAAAGGCGGTGGATGGTGTTCCTGAAGATGACACTTCAGGTTGTCTGCCTACTTGCTCACACTTGCACGCACACACACGCATACACACGCACACACACACACACACAAATACACATATGTGCATATACCTGTACATATGCATGCACTAGAGAGAGGGTGTTAACGTAACCTAAGAATATATAAAAAAAACCTATGGAAACTCGCTGCTTGGTGAGCTAACTGAAGTCTTTATTAGGACTGAGGTGATGGCTCAGCCCGTCCTGCAAAGCCTGCTGGTCTGCATTCATTTGCAGCATCCGTGTGGTGGGAGAAGAGAACTGACTCCCCAAAGTTGTCCTCTGACTTCTGCATGCACAGATGCACCCACACCCTCTCATACTAAATCAATAAAATGTAACTTAAAATATAACTTTACAAAATCGAGCTTGGATGGAAAGATGGATCAAGAGTTAAAAAGTACATACTATTCTGGCCAAGGACTCAAATTCGTTTCTCACCATCCACATGGGGCAACTCACAACTGCATATAATGCCAGCTCCAGAGGGATCCCATGGACTTCTGACCTCTGGGTGCATCTGCACACGTGCATGCGCACACATACAATTTTTAAATAATAATAAATTTTTAAAATATGAAACAAAGCCAGTGAGATGGCTCAGTGGGTAAAGGAACTTGCCATCAAACCCGATTCATCCCTAGGGCTTGTATGGTGGACATAATCAACTAGTGAAAGTTGTGTTCTAACTCTCTAATAAATTTTCTTTCTCTCTAATAAATCATCGTCATCATCAAGGCCAGAGAGATGGTTCAGTGGAAAACACACAGATAAAATAAAATGTAAAGCTGGGTGTAGTGATGCACACCTTTAATCCCAGCACTTGGGAGGTAGAGGCAGGTGAATCTCTGTGAGTTCGAGGCCAACCTGGTCTACAAAGTGAGTTCTAGGATAGCCAGGGCCTATCCTAGACAGAGAAACCCTGTCTCGAAAAAAAAAAGTAAAATAATAATAATAAAATTTATTTTTAAGATACAAAAATATCTGAGTGGCCTAAAGTTTAGTCCATGCTCCCTCGTGTCTAGGGCAAGTCATTCATCCTCTCCATTTCTTGGCTACCTTATAGGTAAGATGAGACAAATAATACCTCCCAATTGTGGGTGGTGGCCATAAGAATTATGGCCTTGGGTGAATGACTCACAAACAGTATAAAGTAGGACTACGGCATTACCATAGGAGCCATCTCTAGGCTTCCCTATGTCTCTGGCACTATCCTGCCTTATTTCCTTCAGGCCAAGAGGTAAATGCCATTATCTCCATTGTGCAGAGGACAAAATTGAGGTGCAATTGGATGTTCTATAAATTGCCCAAGGCCAGTGACTAGGACGTTGGGACGTCAGCATGGTCATTTCTGCTTATCAGCTAGGTCCTCCCCACCTGCCCTCTAATTTTAAGGTGCATGGACGCTCTGCCTGCATGTCCACCTATACCGCGTGGGAGTAATGCTCTTGACGGCTGCGCTGTCTCTCCAGCCCCTTGTTTTCATGTGTCAGTATGTGTTCTCATTAAGCCACGTGAGCCTAGAACTCACAGCTTCCAACCACCACTCTCTCGAGGGCTGGGGTTACTCATATGCACTACCAAGCAGGCCTTGTGCACCTTTATTTTTTTTAACACTAGCAGAACCAATAAAGGGTAGCAAGAGCTACCCTGGATGATCCAGCTTCAGTGGCTGGAGCCTGCCTCAGGAGATGGTGAAAATACAGAGAAAGAGAATGGGGGAAATTTCTGTTGCCATGACTCTACTGCTGAGACATTGGGCAAGAGAATAAACCCACTGGAGACTACATTAAAAACAAACAAAATAAAACACACAGGCACACCACCACCTGACGTAGGATGCATGGGAAGATGGCGTGAGCAAGAGCATGGACTTGCAACATGCACACTCATGCCCGCCTCAGGTAAGGAACCTACCCAAGGAGCCATTGCGACGTCTGCTTCTCCTGCACTTCGGCTTTCCTCTTCCTGAGTTGCTCTCTGTTCCTCAGACTCCAAGTTCCAATGACTTCTGCCAGATGAGAAGGAAAGTTACTGGGGGCTGTGACGGTGACCCGCGGGTGCCTCAGCAAGTATCCTGCCCCAGGAGCTTTGTTTATTTAGTTATTATTTGTAAGTCTTATTATTTCATGTCTATGGGTGTTTTGTCTGCATGTGTGTCTGCGCCACATGTATACCTGGTGCCTAAGGGGGCCAGAAGAGGGCATCAGATACCTTGGACCTGGCATTAGGGACAGTTAGGAAACATTTGAACCCAGCTCCTCTGCAAGATCAGCAACTGCTCTTAAATGCTGAGTCATCTCTCCAGCCCCCTACAGATTTTTAGACCCCCTATTCTGAGTTTTACTCTTGATTTTTGAGGTCAAGGACCATGTCTTCCTTGTTCTTGCATATGGAAGAGATTTTTTTTCTTTTTTTTTTTGTTTTTTGAGGCAGGGTCTCACATGGCAGACCTGGCCTGGAACTTGCTGGGTAGACTAGGCTGGCCTCAGACTCACAGAGATCCGCCTGTCTCTGCCCCTGGAGTGCTGGAAGAGGAGGCATGCAGCAACGCGCACCCAGTGGAGCAGACATTTAGTGAGAATTTGAGTGAGAAAAGATTAGAGTCCTACACAGATGGTATTTGTTCAAAAGTGCACTATTGACCTACTGACTTATTAAAAATTATATTTGTTTAAGTAATAGGAGAAAAATAGGTCATGTTTGGTCATCTTTGACATAATAACCTATTTTCATTGTATTCCCTATTTGCATCCAGGCCATATATTATTCAAAGTAGTTATGATAGCATACTGTGATCCTATCTTTTATTAACCTACCTTAGATCAAAGATAGTTCTTTCACACAGTCTTCAACACTCTAATTTCCCTGTGACATGGTACTTAAGCTAGCTGACACATCTCTAGCCAGTCACTCCACTCTCGGGAAACACAGCATATCACTACTTGTTTTTGTCCTTTTTATATCAAACTGTAATCATATCCAACTGAAAGCTGAGTGATGGTGACACAGGTCTTTAATCCCAGCTCCCAGGAGACAAAGGTAGGCGGGTCACTGAGTTCAAAGTCAGCCTGGTCTACAAAGTGAGTTCCAGACCAGCCTGGGCTACACAGAGAAACCTGATAATCATCATCATCATCATCATCATCATCCCCAACTGAAATAAGCATTTTCACTCATCTAACCTTTCTTTTTCTTTTGGAGAAAGGAATGGTAGACGGGGTGGGGGTGGGGTGGGGGGGGTGCATCCTGTCTAGAGGGATCTGGCACATCTGTAGGTGGCCTTGGATTCCCTAATCCCAAGCCTCCAGAGTGTTCCACCACATCTGTTCAACTTGTGCTTTTATTATTAGATTTTTGTCCTTAGGATTGTGTTTCTTAAAATTATTTGAGATACTCAGGGTACTATGAAGAGCAAATTCCAGGCTGGGATGATTGTCTCGGAAGCATAAGGACCACAGTTCATATCTCCAGTGCCCAAATGCACAGGTTAAGTGGGTCCGGTGATTGGCCCGCAACCCTAGTTCATAGGGCCTGACACGGGGATTCCCAAAGCAAACGGGCTAAAGTAGACAGGTCAAACTGGCAAGCTCAGGGTTCAGGTTTGTGATTCTAACTCAATAAATAAGATAAAGAATGATGAAGGAAAAAGACACTTGATGTCAACCTCTTGCCTAAACAACACACACAAACACACCGGTTCATATACATGCAAATATGCACCACACACAAAGTTTGCAAGAACGGTTTTTTTTTTTTTTTTAAAGAAGTCTATTACTAGCTGGGTGGTGGTGGTACACGCCTTTAATCCCAGCACTTGGGAGGCAGAGGAAGGCAGAATGCAGTGAGTTCAAGGCCAGCCTGGTCTACAGAGTGAGTTCCAGGACAGGCTCCAAAGCTACACAGAGAAACCCTGTCTTGAAAAACCAAAAAAAAAAAAAAAAAAAAAAAAAAAAAAAAAAAAAAAACCAAGGGGG